GAATTAATCCTTATTTGTCACATAGGTTCTGTATATTTCATAAAAAGAACCTTTCTGTATATAATATTACCCTTAATTATAAAGTTCGTTATACAGAGCAAAATTAATTAACAAAAAATTGTGACCAATACCTTAATTCATTATATAGAGCAGTTTGGTTTTTGGAGGTTCTTCATAGAGAGCTTTGACTGTAATCACAAAATTTTCTTTGAACCCAACCTGTTAGGAGCTTTAGGCAGATTGAAGGTAAAGTTGTTGATGAAAATAGAGTAGATTGTTGTACTCACAGGATCTTATCATTACAACTAAGCTTGTCCCCCATAATCAAATATCAAATATCAAATGTTACAATGTTGCAACAATCTGCCTCTTTTGTTGCAACAAACTGTAATGTTACAACATACCCATATCTTTACATATTATATGTAATGTTGCAACATAAACATGATGCAGTTAGACTACTTTTAAAAACATTATTATTATTATAAACATAAACACAAAAAATTTGAATTCATTTATCTATTCATCATCTAATTGCAATTTTCATCTATGTTGCTTTTTTTGCAGGTGGTTGATATCCGAGATTTAATGCTTTTAAAAATCAATGAAAAACGGGTTTTCTACAAGGCAGAAAGGTAATCCACACATAATAAACATCATAACTAAAGCTTTATCAATTGTTTTATGCATGATTCTTCTAAATCAACCAAACAAAAATAACCATCAATATGATGTTGTCCAGAATGTCCAGGAATTTTTCCTTGTTTAGAAAATGTTGACTTTGTAAAATAAATTCATTAACTTCATTATTGATAGTTCAGATGCTTTTGAATTGAAAAACATGAAAATGTAAAATATGGTCGGACATCTTTAAAAAATGACAAACATGGCTTACACATAACTTGGTAATGCCATTACCAAGATGGTTACCACATGTAAAATACTACTATATTTTGGACCAAGTTTATTTTTGTTATCAGTCATTTTTAATCATTATATTTGTAGGAGAAAAGAAATGATATAATTAGAAAGTTAATTGCAACACTGATCCTCCAATGTTGTATTGTTGCAACATGAGTTGCAACACCATAATACTGTAAATTTACATTACAAGTGCCAACTCTAATTATAACCTGATTTTGTTAACCAGAAATCTGCATTGGAAGAGACAATTTTAGAGGCAGGTCATTGTGTATTTTTAACCCCAAGTTTCACTGTGAATTAAATTATATAGAAAGGTATTGGGGTTGTGCTAAAAGATACATTGTGATTATTCATGTAGTTTGCAAACTATAGTCCCTGTTGCTTTAGATTAATTAAAATAAGGAAATTTGCAAGGAAAGCATGGAGATATATGGATTTGTATAGACATGAAAATTACTAGAAAACTAGTAGAATATGCAGTAAAAAGTATAAATCTCATATATAGGAGAATTCCTCATTATGTTATACAAGAGTTAAACAATGTTGAAATTGATCAATTTTATTAAATTTTCCAAAGTCACATTTTTAAATTTCGGACTATTGGCGATTATAGATGAAATGCACCACAGTAGGAATAATTATGGGTATATCAATATTGGCAAATTTGATATATGGGGTGCTTTTCAATAGAGGCGGGCCATGTTGTGAAAATAGCAATTTTGAGTTAATACCATTGCTATATGCTCCTCATGTAGAATATTTTTGGCTTAGAAATCATGCCCACTTTGCATAGTAAAACATCGAGATACTTTTATTTAAAATTCAAAACAATAGTAAACCTCTTAAATGCGGATCTTTTTTGATTTTCTCAAAATATCATTTTCACAACATGGTCCGTTTTTATTGAAAAGCCCTCATATAAGTGCTTAAAAATAAATTATAGCAAATATTATTCATAAATATAAAATTTGTCATTTTTATTATTAATTAATTTAAAGAAGGGATTAATCTGGCATGGTTTTTTTACATAAATCAATTAAATAAATAGTACAATATATTATTTAATCTATATTCTATAAATATGCAAATATATATAATATATTTACATATTGTTGCTGTCAATCAAAAGGGAAATTTTGATTCTAAATTAAAAATATTTTTTATAAATTATTTTGTATTTTAAAAGTATCCCAGGCATCGTTTAAAACAGAAAATACTCCATTGGCTATAAGCCTTTGTTCAATAGTGGTAGTTGAATGATTAAGCTATATAATTAATTAACAGATTAGTTGATAGATTAATATCAAATATTAATGAATTAGTTAATATTTGATTATTAACTAATTGTAGATTTATAATAGCACCAATTAATTTAAATTTTACACATACTTTATCTGGGTGTAACTTCGAAATAGCCTTCATGTATTTTATTTTAACTTGTGAAGGAGTAACCAATTCATGCAATCCAATTTTTTTCCAATCAAGATCATGCCATAATATTAAATCAAGACTACTAATCAATGCCCTTATATTTGATTCTTTGCCACTTTTCCATAACAACAGTTTCTTATCAACTTGATCCTTCAATCTTAGCTTTTCAACCTCCTCCCACTCTTGTTTTTGTGCTTTGTCACGTAGTCTCATCACTGCAGGATTATTAGGATCAATTGGTTGCATCATTGTTTTTTGTTCCACTATTGGATCTATGAAACCATATGCATTTAATGGGACCCCAAATGTACTTGATGAAAATGATAATGGCTGTGTTGTTGTTGTAGTTCTCATATTAAGACTATTATTATTGTCATTATTGCTAATTGATGAAGTAGAGAAATTATCTAGTGATATTAATGATTCATTTACATCATCATAATAATTATCATAACTGTTATAGTCATTAATCTTATTGTTATTATCATTATTATTATTATTATTATTATTATTATTATTATTATTACTCTTATTGCCATTGTTATTATTATCACCATTACCATTGTACATCATTTTAATAGCCTTTTGACATCTTCTCAAGCCCTCATTAATATTTTTCCCAACATTAGGATCAACATAAATTATTTTTTGATAATCATGTTTTGCAAAATCATATTTTTCCATTGCTTCATAAGCAGAAGCACGTCTTAATAAAGCTTTAGTATACTGATCTTTTATATTTATGTCAATGTCAGGTGGTAATGGTAACATGTAGTCATCAATCAATTCAATTGCCAATGAGCAATCCTCCACACAACCATGATGGTTTCCATTTTTGAGTCGAGCAGCAGCTCGGTTATTGTGAAGGACCACACGAAGTAGGTGATTTGAAGGGAGAGAGTTAATTGCCAGTGAATAATGGTTTTCAGCTTCACCAAATTGACCCAATTTAAAAAAACCATTTCCTTTAGTTTTATTGGTTTCAGAATTTTTTAATTGTTCTGGTAATAAATGAATCACAGGTCTTGATTTTGGTATTGGTTTAGACTTTAATTTTAATTTTGATTTTGATTTTGGTACAGTATTTGATTTTGGGTCCAATTCAGCCACTGTTGACTCTGATGAATTATTGAATTTACTTGATGCACTCAATAAATCTATATTTGGTTTAGTTGATCTAGATGGCAAGGGAGGTTTTCTTGATCTTGGTGGTTTTGGTGGTGGTTTATCACTTATGATGACGGGATTACATGGAATGCCTAGGTCCAGTAAATCATTATTTTCAGAATAAGACTATAAATATAAAATTATAAACTTTATAATTAGTTGACTATCAATGAAATATTTTAATATCAAACAAATCTACAAAATTAAATGAATTAATTAATGAAAAAGATTTACAATAGGTATACTTGAAATGTTTGTTGGATTATTAGTTAATAAGTCTATATCCCGTTGATTTGTTCCATTATTATTTGAAGTATTATGGTTCTTTGGTGGTAAATTATGTGAAATTCTGATGATTTTAAAATTAAAAAAATTAAATTGATATATGAATTATAATATTATAAAAATATAATAATTAAAATTGTCTTCTAATAATTACTATATTATATACATTTGATTTATTAAATTATTTGCGGAATCAACAGAAGGAAGAGGAGGATTAGATTTGTTAGAATTTCCTAATAATAGATCAAATTGATCTATTATGGAATTGGTAGAACGATGAGTTGGTTTAGTTGAAGGAGTAGAGCACACAGTCTTAAAAATTGGTAGGGTGGCTGATGTTGACGTAGTTGTTGTTGAGGAGGAAGTGGTTGATAGTTTTGGGGTGGCTTTTAAGTCGTTTAAAGACTTTGAAGCAATTGTTTGAGTTTGAGGTTTATTTGGGCCCCATATTAAGTCTTCTAGATCCTCCATTATCAATTTTTTTATTTTTTATTACTAGTCAATTATTATTAAACATACATAGAAGGTTACTTATAACTCGTAACACTGCCTTTTTCTTAATTTAGAAGTTAAATACATAGTGCAGCCACTTTTTGTAATAGTAAAATGAGTATCTGGGACATGGACAAATGAGATCAATTTTGAATATGCAATTCGTAGAGAAAGTTTTATTACGAGTTTTTTATAGCCAGCAAAACACCAAATTATTTAATAAGAAGATAGATTTAGGACCTTTTCTAGCAAAAACAATCTTCCACAAAATGGATTTTTTTAATCTAATATAATGCCTGGTATACACAAAATTTAATTAATAATTGTTATTTTAGATACAAAATGACGTCAATATGATTGATATACTATTTATACAACATTTCTATAAGATATAATTATATAATTAAACTTAATAAACAGTGACGTTTGAAAGAATAGCTTAATAGTGATTGCCCGACAACATATTGGCCGCTGCGCACCCAATATCTTATAGATTTCATATAGTAATAGTAAAAAATCGGGACAAAATTTTAATCTGTTATTAGTTTTCTTTCTAATTTTGCCTTGGACAGCTTGGACAGACATTCTTTAAACCTTTTGAGTAATTCTCCCTCTTAACGAGCATTGTAATCGACAAGTATCACATAAATCTGTTCTTGGAATCTCTGACCTTTTGGGTAATTTTGGTCAACTAGTTTTCTTTGGTTTGGACACCATTACAAAAATGTTGACAATTATCATATAAATCTGTTCTGGGACTCATAATTTGAATTTCTGGTGTCAGTTCATGTCATAACTTTCTGAATGCATCAAGGACTTCAAACTACTATCTTCTTCCAGACCAGCAAGAAATCTCTGTGTACTGATTTATAACTCATTTCTGCTGGTAAGAATGTAACTGATTGGGTTATTTTATTTATGTTTTTTCCTTGACTTGGTAATCCATGAACTTTGGCATAATTTTCCAGAAAATTCTTTACAACCTCTACATTTTTTGTCAATCAACACTCTGACAAAAATTTAACCTCACTGTTTTCGGGTCCTTGTCAAACAAGAATGCAAAGTTGTTGACTATTTTTGTATTATCTCATGCCAACAGCACATTTATTTGTTTTAACAGTTTACAATATAATACATAAAAGTTCCTTCGCATCTTCAGATACAAAATGAAATATTAATGTAATCAATTTTTTAGAGGCAATATAAATACTGGCAGGATTAGTAGAAATTAAAATTTTAAACAGTTTACCCTCGCTCAACTTGATAGTTTTTTTACATCATGAGAGTTTCGATCATGCACTTTTTACACAATAGAAGTATAATCTTTCGACTCGAAAATCAAAAAAAAAAACAAGCCATTAAAATATCGATTTCTGTAATTCACTATAATATTAATTAGATCATCTCTACTTTTTTTATGATAAAGATACGTTTTTTAGGTTGTAATCTAGTTATATTCACATATATATTAACAGATTAAATTTGTTTTTGAATAAATAATTATTTGATAATAAAAATAAAATAAAATATTTTTTCTTTTTATCTCTATATTAGTGGTGGTGATGGTATACACATAAGACAATAATTGATCATTATTATTAATAATCATGTGCTTGTCTGTCATAATTAGCACCGCCAGCTTTTCTAAGTTGTGTAATAATCTCTCTTTCGCTCAACTCTGATTTCTCATGTGCATTAACTTCTATAGCATATGCCTAAAAATAAATGAATTAATAATATGAATAAATCAGCCAACCAACCAATCAATCCCAGTCAATGATATATCAATAAATGTATACAACCTGAAGAACTCTCTTGACATCCGAAACGTGAACTGATAATTTTGCCTTTCTCATTATTTTGACATTGCTTCCGGTCCATGTCACAAAAATAAATTTAGTACGTACCGACAATTCATCATTTGACACGTTGACACGTACCTAAAAAAAGGGCTAATGTTACCAACCAAATTGAACCTCATTCAGAAAATTTAAGATGTCGTTTAGATTTAAAATGATTCTCTAACTCACATATGCAAATCCTGCTTCCGATTCATTAAGATTTTCAACAAGTTCTCTTAGTCCTCCTGTTCCTTTGGCTTTCAATATTAATTTATCAGATTTGTTGGATTCATATTCTAAAAGTAACCTATAAATATATATAAAAAAATTTTTGTACATGTATATATAGATTTATTATTATAAATTTATATTTATTTTTACTTACCAATTGGTTTCATTTTTATCATTTCTAACTTCTTCATACGTTTCTCCTAAAAAAATTATTATATTATATTGAGCCAAAAAACAAATAATAAATCATCTTTATTTTTTATTTATCTATTAATTCCAGCAATAATTCTAATACATACTAATGCTTGGTTCTGTCATATCAGCCATATCGTAATTCAAAATAAAAAGTTATATATTATTATAAATATAATTACAATTTCACAAAATCTATCTCTAAATAAATAAATAAAAAGAAATAACCATCGGCAACCACCTCCAATAAATATTATAAATACTTGTTAATTGACAAATTTATTATTAAATTATTAGATTATTCATATAAAAATCAAAAATACAAACCAAAAAAAATTAAGGTGCAAACAATAAAAAGAGAAAAGTAATGAAACCTTTCCTTTCACTTTTGTAATTTCCATTAAAAGAACAACAAGTGACGATCAAAAATAGAGACAAGTCTGTCATGTGTTTATACACAAAGCGAATATATTTGTAATAAATAAATAAACTAACTAATAAATTAAATTATTAATAATAATCTCAATGTCTTCTGATAATACATTTAAAAATAAATGAAAAAGGGATGGAATATGGTTTTCACTAATAAAAACAACATATATAGTATATGTGTGAGTGTATATGTAAAGGAAGTTTCTAATTATATAAAAGTAATCAATTACATATATTTAATCAATAAAAAAAAATCATAGAAAAAATAATTCATATAATAATGAGTGGTAAATTAATAACGAATGGTATTAATGATGTTTATTTGCAACATTCATTATTGCCACCCTTTGCATCAATTGGTACCGTATTGGACCCAATTCTAGATTGACCTCCAACCTTAATACCATGCGCCTGGATGAAAATTAAAAATACTCATTATCACTATTATTAACTTTCAAATGGAATTATAATAATAATTGTACAAAAAAAATCTATGTAAACCTCATTTGTAACATCAAATATTGATTCTTTGATTTTTCTATAAATATCTTGAGCTGGAATATTAAATGCCTGTAATAAATAATTAATAATTAATAATTAATTGATTATTTAATTGGATGTAAATGTAATTATAAATTTTTATTACCTTTTCAACATTTTCTGCAGTTTTTGCAGAAGCTTCTATAAAAAATAAATTATTCTGCCTGGCAAACTTTTCACCTTCCTCATAAGAAACAGCACGTTTAGTTTCAAGATCCTTCTTATTACCAATAAGCATTATTGTAGTGTTAGAATTGGAGTGCTGACGAGCATCCTCCAACCAAATATGTAGATGTTCAAAAGTTTCACGTCTTAAAATAAAAAATAATCAATATATATTTATATATTTTTCCAATATAAGATTAATTAATGGATACCTGGTGATATCGTAAACTTTAAATTTATATACATATATATTTTTAAAAAAATAAATTTAGTAAATGTTTAATATAAAATTATTATCACAATAAATAAAACAAACTTTAGATGAAATTACCTAACAAAGCACCAGCTGCACCACGATAATAACTCCTCGTTATACTTCTAAAAGATTCTTGCCCGGCCTAAAATTATAACAATATAACTCAATATATTATTCATCAATACATGAAGAATAAAAAATATATAATTTTACCGTATCCCAAATTTGAAGTTTAATTTTTTTATCCTCAATCTTGTCAAAAATCAAAAATTCTCATAATATTGAAAGCTCAAAAGTAGAAAAAACACAATCATTATTTATTAAAATAATATAAATAAAGCTTACTGTAACAAGACGTGCGCCAAATTCTACACTGATAGTGATTAAAATAGTAAATCTTTCTTTAACAATAATAATTTTTGAATTTTTTTATTCCATAAAAGATGCTAAAATGGAAATAAATTAAATAACTCACCCAATTGTCAAGTCGTGAGATTGTTGGAAACGATGATCCGTAAATTGTAACAACAAACAAGACTTTCATTATATAATAAAAATATGATTATGAAATAGGTTATGAATCGTAAATATACATATATAATTATATAATTATCACAGATCGACTTTATTAATTAAAATTTAAAATTTAATGAAATCTTAATTCATGAAAACTTCATTAGATGTATTTCATATCATTCAAGGAAACATCTTTATCTATGATTTACCTTTCCAACACCTTCAAAGATTAAAAAACAATGAGTAAATAAAACTCAAGAATTTTTTAAAAAAGCCAACACATATTTTTAAGGTTTACCTGTATCACCGATTATAATATACTACATTAAATTTTTTCAAAGAATTGTCAAAATTTAACGAATTAATAATGTTCTAAAATTTTAAAAAAATCAATAATAGTAAGTAATTTGTAAGCAAACCTTAACAATATAGTCATATGTGAAATTTGACGATAGTGATGCCATTTTTAAAAAATATTTAAATCAATTAAGGATAAGTTATGATATGCCACAAAACTGCTTGCTTATAATTTATTCTAATTACTGATATTATATCTTTTGTTAGAACTACGGCAATCAAAATTCGAAAAGAGTGAGTGGAGTGGGGGAGTCAATAATTATTATGAATTTTGTTCCTTTTTTAAAAAAACCCCTCTTTTTATATATCTTGCTTGCTGCACGTGGCTTTCGTAATACGATACATATCGATTTTTAAGGGTAGGGGGAATCACGTGATAATTTAATACAAAATCCGGGGACCAAAATTTGACTTTTCCAAAATCAATAATTGTCTTAAAGGCGAAGCTACATGAGACGCATTCAAATAACTCCTGTGTTATTCTATACATGTATTCTGCTGTGTAGTAGTTATTGAAAGTGTTTTTGAATAAAATCTTCTTTTAAAATTCTTCAAAAAACAAAACTCATCCCTAATTATCCCATATTAACATATACTCATCCCTTAGTAAAAATTTATTATAGTAATAGGAAAACTTATTGGACATTTTGTGATGATCAACATTGAAACCAATAAAAAAATTTTTTGATCCATGATTTACTATTGATTTATCACGTGATTCCCCATACCCTTAAAGATTTTGTTGAAAAATTACTTAAAAAGGAAAAAGATAGCCGGAATTTATAAAATACCTCAAAATTTTGGCCGGTTTCCAGAATTACCAGCAGCCAGGATTTTGATATAAATTCACGTGATTTAATGATATTAATATCAATCATTTTTATTATTTCTCATGGGTATGGGACACTTTACCAACACCCACTTTACTGACAGGACACTTTACTGACAGGACACTTTACTGACAGGACACTTTACCAGCAAGACACTTTACCAACAATCAAAGTAAAGTCAAACTTGACATAGAAATGGTCTTGCAAGGAACATCACAACCTCTGCAGAAACCAAAGATTGTAATTGTGAAATACAGATTCAAACAGTATTAAATGACTGTAATGTTAGATCAACTATAGAGTTTCTTTAGGGCATTGCCCATAATATTTCATTTTTTTTTTTTGTAATAATAAATGTTAATAAATAAATTTAATAAAACAATTAAAAATGACATGAATATGCAATTTTTATCAATTTCATCAGACAAAAAAAATCATGTATCTTTATGAACTGGTTTTTGATGCAAAGTAAGGATGTTATTAGTTAATTAATGGTTGATTTAACCTGTCTGTAAAAAACCAAACTTTTAGCTAGTTACCCAGGTCTTCACACAATCCTTGGCAAATTGTTAACACAATGCTTGTCAGTAAAGTGTCCTGTCAGTAAAGTGTCTTGTTGGTAAAGTGTCTTGTTGGTAAAGTGGGTGTTGGTAAAGTGTCTGGGTCTGGTTGGGGAAAATACCCTAACCCTGAAACAAAATCTTTATCTGTTTTTTATAGTGGTTGTATCCACCAAATGATATTCACTGATTATTCCATGTAATTGAAAGAATACTAATACATCAAAATACTATTTTATCCACTATTACATTATCACCAACATTCTTTCTATTATGATAATATGTCAAGTAAAAATATGAATACCAACTGTGTCATTATTATCTAAAGAATATTTATGCAATGCAGTAACTTCTACTTCAAATGAGCATCTACAGTCACAGCAGACTATAATTAAATCCTTGTCATAATGGATTTTTAAAATTTTTGCTTCACATTTACATTAAAATAATATAAAAACATAAAAATCCATTGTGGCAAGATCAGTAAATCTTGCCACAGCAGGTTTTTCATTCATCTGCTGTGACAAGGTTTGACTGTATTTAGTGAAGCTAGAAACACAATGACAGCTGAATGAATAAAATTGAATTTGTTGTTATTGTATTTCTTAAAAAAAAAAATATGCAATGTATTGAAAATATTTTCCTGAAGAATAAATAATTATTATAAATCAATGAATATTTGGCAGGTATTCAGTGAATGACCAATTATCTGGGTGTTGAGTTTTATTGACTGACCAATTATCCAGATAATCAATGGAGATGCTGGTCGCAATTCTTGGTGATGGTTGCAACCATATTTGCAACATATAAAAATGGTTTGCAACACCCGGTTGCGACCACTTTGGTTTCCTTTTTTGGATTGCGACATGGAACACTAAATACAATCACTAGTTTAACATTTTTTTTATTTATTCATATAATGTCAAAGTTAGCATCATGGTTAGAATGCTACATTGCAATTAAAGTGTGATATCATGGTTAGAATGCTAGATTGCAATGAAGTTGCTACTAATTAATTTAATTGTATATAATTTGACATACTTGTAAAAAAACTTTGTAATAACTTTGTAAAAAAGTTTTATAATAAAAATTAACTTGGAAATAAGTTAATAAATTAGTTTCAACTAAATAAAACATTTTCTTAAATCACTAAACCAAAATTATTCATTAATTAAAACTAATTCATTATAATAGCCAATTCATTCTGATCCGCACAATCATAAATTTATACTGCTCACAAATAATAATTGGTGACATTATGAATAATTACGAATTTATTACAAAATTTTAAAACAATATTCAAAATAATTATGAATATTTTAAAACAAACAATAATATCATAAATATCATAAATATCACCATATATTTTTTATAAAATTTTGCTATCTCATATTAAAAATGTCTTCAGTAAAAAGGTCAATATCTGATACTGATCATCTTCAAAAAAAAAATTTAAAAAATCAACAAATCCACCAAAAGACCTAATCCTAACACTGAAAACCCACTATCTTTGAAAAACAAAAAAAAAACATTAAAGCTTCAAAATAGATTACCTGATATTGAATATACACAATCTACAGTAAAAATAGGCCTACTTAAACTTCTTGATGGAAATGTTTTAAATTCACATATTCAAACTTCGGTTGAGAAAATGACAAAAATAACTTAGGAGGGATCTCTACTTGCAAATCTAATAACCTTTTATCTTATAAATACAAACCAAAACATTCCTAATCTCAACCAAACATTTTTTCAACATGTTTTTAAAGCTGCCACAGCCATAAACAAAAGACAATTAAATATACCATGTGTTACTGCTGATTTAACTATCAATTTTTGCCATGGATAGATTCAAGGTTAGTTACCCTGTTATCCATACATACATCTATTTAGTTCTTTTCATGAATGGGTTTCTAATAAACAATTCTGTCATTAAATTAATTCAATGCTTATAGTTATCTTGCTCAGCTTGTTACATCAGCAACTAATCAGTACCTGACAAATTGCAAAAATCATGTCATGACAAATATTAAAAGCAGAGTCAATAAATGGATCCAACATATTCAACATAAATTGGCATGGATACCATTTTCAAAGAAAAGTCTTATAAAACCAGTGAACTACATCTATAAATCCTTTATAGTGGTTCAAGGCTTTCACTTCCATGATTATTTTTTTAATATCAGAGATCCTTTGCTTTTTGGCATTGCCTCTACTAGATTTATTTATATTGCAAAAGGCAAGAAATCTTTTAGCAACCTTGTCATTAGAAAACAAAAAATTGGTGGAAATATCTCCTCTCCTGCACTCTTTATTAAAATATACTTCGAAAAATCCTCATACCAAAAACCTTTGCTCTTTCACAATTCTTCCACTATATTCAATCCAACAAAGAAATATTAACATTGACAATGAAGCATAATACCAATTATGGCTTCTACTAAACATAGTGATCTAGTAACTAGAGAAGTTTTCAAAGAAAATTTTGATCATTGGTGGAATAGAAGCTTTAATATAAAAAAAGTTTCTACTAGAAATAGGAGGACATTTACATAACTATCTACAAACTGATTATTGGTAAATTTTCCCTGCTGTAATATTACATAGATAAATTTTAATATGTAAAGTTGTAATATTTGCATAAAAAATTATGTAATATTTACACTGAATGTAATAATTGCATAATATTACAGGGTCTGCCATAAACTTGTAATAATTATGTAAATCCATGTCAGAAAAAATTTCCTGATGATGGTATATGTGCTTCTGTCTACCTACAAAGGCCAAAAAAAATTGGTGAAAGGAATGATGATGATGAGTACAAAAAATTAGATTTGGAGGGGTGTAGAGTAGTTGGTGTTGACCTTGGAAGAGGGGATTTATTCATTGCTGTAGATCAAAATGAAAAAGTAATTGAATGCAGCACAAAAGAATATTATGATATGGTGGGTTTAGGAAGGCAAGAGAAAAAAGAGAAGTTTGGATGAATAAAAATAAATATAGTCAGAGGTAATAAATTTGATTTTTTTTTAAAATTAATTAATTAAATATTATTATTCAATCCAATATTATATTTCAGGTTTACCAACACCTTCTGTTCCTTCAGTTTGTGGTTTCCAAATGCAGTAGCACTTTTTATATGGGTGATTTATTTGACTTTTATAAAGAAAAACATTGGAGAAGGTTAAGATGGTCTAACTATATTAGTAAACAAAAGGCAATGGATAAAATCTGTAGGAGGATTGCCAATAATGAACTGTTGTAAATATTACCTATTTTCATGATACTAATTTTTATATTATTTAGAGAATTAAAAAATTTTTTTCATTTTATAATCACAGTCATGCTCCATTCTCATCAAGTTCTAAAGGACATGCTGGTCCAGTAAAGCAGCTGATGTGGAGTTAAGGAAAAGATGTAGAGTAAAAATTATTAATGAATTTAGAACTAGTAGAATATGTTCCAAGTGTGAAGGGATACTTAGTAAACCTCAACAGTTTTGGACACTCTGGACATGTCATGTGCCAGACCCTCTGGAATCATGATGTTAATGCTGCCCGAAACATAAGAAACATATTTTTGTACATGAATGAGAATGAGGAGAAAGGCCTGAAATTTTTAGGAGTAGGAGTGAGGGGACTTAAATTGACCCCATTGCTGCAGCATAGGGTGATTCCGATTTAGCATAACGAATTTTACTTGATGGTACCATACATGATATTTGATTTTCTCATAAATAATTCTGTGTTACCTTTTTATTGAATAAGAAGAAAGAAAAAAAAGAAATCTGTTATCGGAAAAACCAAAATTAAAAAAATATCTAAAAAAATAACAACAATCATTAAAACTTATTAATATATATATACATATTTTTTTTTTGTCAACAAAAAAAAAAAATGTCAAAACCTTCAATCCATTTTTGTACAAAGTACACCATCGACAAGATGCGCAATTCAGGTCAAACTCCTACTCTAACAGAATTGCAACAAGCTATTCTTAGTGAGGCAAAATACAACAGTAACTGGTCTGCAGCAGTTATCTTGTTTGAAGATTTTGATAGAATTGTGTGGGAAAGACTAACACGTTTGCTTGACAAAAACAATGACAAAACAACCGGACAATCTAATAAACAAACCTTAAAAGAAATATGGTTACAAACATCTATTGCATTGCAACCATTATCTATTACCGAATTAAAATATGTTAGACAAGTTTACCAGATTATGGTTAGATATGCACCTACTATCAAAGATGTAAGCTATTATTATCTTCATCTACTCAAAAATCACATAGAAACTCCTATTCTGGATGCTGAAGTTGTCAATCATTGTTTGAATTCATTGATTTACCATATTTCCTTGAGTAAAGATACAGACTATTTGACAAGAGGTTTGGATCTTGTGAAGATTGCCTTGGGACGTAATATGGGTACAGATAAGAACAATGTTTTACAAAGTGTATCAAAAGGAATTTTGAAATTTAATGGCGTTAGAATAACAAAGAACGGAAAAAATATAGAAAAAGAGAGACCAAATGACAACAATTTCGTTAAAATTCGTCCTAGAAAAAAATCAAAAAATAGAAAATTTGGCAAAAATGGCACTGTTGATGGTGGAGGTGGTAGTAGTGCTGTTGATAATAATATTCATAATATTCACAAGAATAAGAATACTCATAATATTCACAAGAATAAGAATAATACTCATAATGTTATTGTTAGTGGTGGCAGCGGTGGTGGTGATAAACTTGGTAAAAACGGAGTTATACTAAATAAGAAAATTAAATCCTTAAATATTGTAAAGGATAAAAACTCGTCCAAGAAAAAACAGCATAATAATAATGTTCAACAAAAAATTAAAAATAAAAAATCATATTATATTGATAAATCTGGAAAGTATTGTTGGGATCATCTTCCTATTAATTCTGAGGACGAAAAGAATGCCGAGAATGATGAATGGAATAAAAAGGAATACCCCCCAAATTGTCAACAAATTCAACAAGAACAAGATAACTCTGAGGTCATTGGATCTTTATTCATTAAAAAATATAATAGTAAAAATCCTTATTATGAATCATCATCGTCATCGTCATCGTCATCATCATCTGAAGGAGGAGAAGGGAGTGAGGATGATGATGAGGATGATGATGAGGATGATGAGGATGATGAGGATGACGTTGATAACGATTCTAGGTCTGAATTGAATTCAGATGATGAAGTATCATCAACATTGTCTTCTCAACAGAATTATAAATTTGATGAATTGGAAAGTGAAACTGAATTCATTATTGATGGTCATAAAAAAACGAAAAATAATCAATAATGATTTATAGTTTTTACTATTAATCTATCTTTAATTTTCACCAACTAAAACAAACCAATTCGTCTTTTTTTCGTTGTACAATTATACTTGAATCATCAAAAGGCATTGCGGGCTTTCTATTAGTCAAGAATTATTATACTTGTGATTCACTGCTTAATTGCATTACAATATCCCTTAAAAAAAATAATAGGGTGATACTTTATATTATTTATATTTTATTAGTTGTTGAATAAAAATTCTTTGACATATAATTTGTATATGTATGTATGTAAAATAAATTTGTAATAAATAAATATATATATAGGAATTATTTTAAAAGATTTTATAATTTGTGATTATATATAGTGATCGGCACTGAAAATTGGCAGAAATTACTTTCAAGTCATTTCATTAAAAGAAAAAGTAAGTTAATAAACAAATAAAATGCCTTCAAGACTTCCACCAGTAATTATGGATAATGGAACTGGGTAATTATTTTTAAAGCAAAAAAATAAAATCACATTTTTTTAGAGCATCATTTTTTAAATGTTTTAAACAATTTTCAGGTATACAAAATTAGGTTTTGCTGGAAATAATGTTCCTTCTTTTGTATTTCCAACAGTTATAGCTACAAGAGATTCAGCTGGATCTAATACTTCAGGCACTGCATTACCCTCGCAATCTTCACATTTATCTGGAAATATTGCTTCAAAACGTGGTGTTGAAGATTTGGATTTTTATATTGGAAATGAAGCATTAGCAAATTCAAAAACCTATGGTTTACATTATCCTATTCGTCATGGTCAGATTGAAAACTGGGATCATATGGAAAGGTTTTGGGAACAGAGTATTTTTAAGTATTTAAGATGCGAACCTGAAGATCATTATTTCCTTTTGGTAAGAAAAATTACAAGGAAATTAAAAAAATTATTTTGTTGAATATCGTGATTGATTTAAAATTTATTATTCATTAGATTTTTGGTAATTTACGCACGCACACACATATATATAATACATAGTAGAATTTTTGCTCATTATCATTATTATTACTCATCTATGCATATATTTCTCTTGTCTATCAATGTTATTTTTATTAATATTATAATAATAATAATAATAATAGACTGAACCACCACTTAATGCACCAGAAAATCGTGAGCAAACTGCTGAAATAATGTTCGAATCTTTTAATATTGAAGGACTTTACATTGCTGTACAGGCCGTATTGGCTTTAGCTTCCAGTTGGAAATCAAATAAAAATACAGATTTTGTACTGACTGGTACAGTTATTGATAGTGGAGATGGTGTTACTCATGTGATTCCTGTGGTATGTATTTAAAAATAGTATCATGACAAAAAATATTTATCCATTATCAATCAATTAATATTCTTTCCCACTTTAAATAAAGGCTGAAAGTTATGTAATTGGATCATCTATTAAACATATTCCTATTGCTGGTCGTGATATTACTTACTTTGTTCAACAATTACTTCGTGATCGTAATGAAACTTCAATTCCTCCAGAAGATTCTTTGAAAGTGGCAGAACGGATCAAAGAACAATTTTCTTATGTTTGTCAAGATATGGTTAAAGAATTTAAAAAATATGATCAAGAAGGTGAAAAATATTTTCAGAAATTTCAAGGAGTGCATAGTGTTACTGGACAGGTAACAACAATATATCATTGTAACAGGTTTCTTTTTTTCTTTCTTAAAAAAATAATTATAATATATTTCTAGCCATATGAAGTGGATGTTGGTTATGAACGGTTTTTAGGACCTGAGATATTTTTTAATCCTGAAATTGCTTCTTCTGATTTCTTGACACCACTCCCAGAAGTTGTTGATAATGTTATTCAAAGTTGTCCTATTGATACTAGACGTGGTTTATATAAGGTAGTTATTATCTTTTATGCTTTAGATTTGATAATTAATTATCTATATGAAAAATTATACAATAATAATGATTATGACAATGGTGCTACTTGTAGAATATTGTTTTATCTGGTGGATCAACAATGTTTAAAGATTTTGGTAGACGACTCCAACGTGATGTAAAGCGTACTGCAGATGCACGTTTAAAGAGAAGTGAAGAATTAAGTGGTGGTTTGCTTAAAGTAAGAATATTATCTATTCATTCATTTCAGGAAATTATAATAAACAATCCATATTGACATTAAAATAATAGTAACACTTTTTTAATTCTTGAATATTTTTTTTATTAATAGTCTACACCAATAGATGTCAATGTAATTTCTCATAAAAAACAACGCTATGCTGTGTGGTTTGGTGGCTCTTTGTTAGGTTCAACTCCAGAATTTTATTCATATTGCCATACAAAACTTGAATATGAAGAATATGGTCCTAGCATTTGTCGTCATAACAGAGTCTTTGGTTCTATGTCTTGATCACCAAAAGTTTATATCCAAAATTTCTTTTGCATTTATTACAAAAATGCACTAAATAAAAATTTGTGATTTTTATATTATTTGATAGCTCTGGTTCTTGTGATTACCAATATGGTTTTAAATTTTTATTTTATTGAGATATTTTAAAAAGTAAAGTCAATGTTGAAACTTAAAATGTTGATCATTTTAAAGATAAGTTTTTCAAAAAAAAAAATCTTATCAAGTATTTTTTGTGCAGGATTTGTTACCATTCTTCTCTCAAATAATATTCTAATCTATCTTGATTTTTTGGATGTATAGGACTACTAAACTCACCCCATAAGTGTTCAATTAGATTAATGTCTGGAGATTGAGAAGGCCAATCTTCCAGAACCCTCACCTTTTTTCAGATAATCATTTTATAACATTTTTCAATGTGTGAACAGGCATGTTATCATCTTGAAATTTGTAATTTGTAGAAATTCTCAAATGAATGGCAACAATTCATTCTCTAAAATATTGATATAATTCTATGCTGACCAATGGTCCTAATCCTTTACCTGTGAAGTAACTTTAAACCATTATTCATCCTCACCACACTTTACTGTTGGATTTTCAATATTAAAATGAGTCCTCTTTTCATGCCAAATTTGTGTTGGTAAATCACTGCCAAATAATCTAAAGTGGCTTTCATCACTCCATATGGTTGGCATGGTCTAAAGACTTCTATTGCTGCACTATGTGGCCAAATTTCAAAAAGGAAAATATACAGAACCTACTAAAAATGGCAACTCATTCTACAAAAAAGACAACTAAATTGTAGCTCAAAAAATTTGTAAACCCATGTAACATTTATCAATGATGTGATGATTGAATTAATGGGCTGGGGGCAGTGTTGAAAATTCGGTGCGGGGAATGCGGGGGTGTGTAACATTACACACCAATCAACCTTTTAATTTTTGGAGATAGTTTCTAAATTTGTACTGGCTACACAACGAAATTTCAACACTGGCTGGGGGTGGCAGGAATTACAGAGTGCTTACCAACTCTAAGAATTAATCCTTATTTGTCATGTATGTTCTGTATATTTCATAAAAGAACCCTTTCTGTATATAATATTCATCTATAATCAATTAATTGCTTAGTCAGCTTCAAAATATTCAAAATACTAAAACAAAAAACTTTTATATCATTTTAAAAAAGTTAACCAGTAAGTTTTATTGTTCATGATTCAAGCTTCAAAACTTATCAGCTAGACTTTTCTTAAACTAAAAATTGGCAGAGCCTTAGCATTTTGAAATTACAAATTTTGGGGCATGCTGCAACAAAACCAGACAAAGTGAACATTGGTATTACCAAGAATTTCAGGGATCATATTTGGGGCATGGAAAATAGAAAAGGCCCAAATTGCAAAATCGTATATATTTATAATTAAGTCATGTGATCAGCGCTATGTTCTTCTAACATCTACTATTTTTTCATTTGTATATATACAAACTATGAAAAATAACAATACTGTTGATTCAACATCGCCAACAGCAGCATCAACACCAGGAGCAGGAAGAACCTGCAGAACCTAATCCTGAAGATCATGATAATAATAATAATCATCAACATCAAAGAAGTCATCATTATAATTACTATTGTTTTTTTAATCACCATAATTATGTAAATAATTATTATAATAACAACAACAGCAACAATAGTAATAATAATAACAATCATTATTACAATGATAACAATAATAATAACAACAACAACAACAACAATAATAATAATCATGATGACGATGATAATAATGAAAACAAAATGGACCTTGATCCATAATTTAAATTTTTCTTTTTTAATTTTTTTTGTTTTTTATTTTTGTAAATAAATAAATAAGTTTTATTATCATCATTCTTAAATCAGAATGACTGCATTGGAGGAAAATACTCTGCCCCAAAGCTTTATGAGTATACCTGTATCTTTGATCATTCTAGAAGTTGCATAATTTTGCAGAGCAGACTAATTACCTTTGCCAAAGCACTGAGCCATCATCTACTAGAGAATGATGATTATGGCTACGGTGGGTTCCATAATTTGCAAAGCAAACTCGTGACAAATAACTCGGGTAATTCTCCTATCATCACAAAGGCAACTCCACAAGAAAAAGTATTTGCTACACTATAGTTGTTAAAAAATTGGAGTTTTTTATAGAATATATTTTTTTACATATTTGTGTAATGTGTTATTAAATTTGAGTATCTTACATCTAAATTAAACAAAAGCATTAATAATTAAGTATGTAGCATTAATTAATTATATACAAAAATACCACCTACTAATAAGCACATATGTGCAATTTTATTTATTAATAATAAAATTGAAATTAAAAGGTGGGAAAAGTTTTCATAACATGAAGAAATTATTTATCTATTACTATGTATTTAAAATATGTATAAAATAAATTCCCAAATAAATAAAACTAATTATAATACTAACAATCTTTTGCAAAAAAAAAAAAAATTATATACAAAAACAATAGTTTACGATAAATTTTCTTACATAATGCAATGCATTCTTAAATTTGGGTATCAATATCTTCTCACCTAAATTAAACAAAATATTAATGATTAAATAAATATCATTAATT